AATGCTCTTAACAAAAGCACACACTTATTGGCTTCTTACTGTCTGCATTTTATTCTAAGTGCTTTATATGTATTTATTCATTAATCAGCCCAGTCACCTTGTGAGGTGGTATTATTGTTATCTTCCTTTACAGATGAGGAAACCGAGTCTCATAGAGCCTAACTTCCCAGGGGAGTACAGCTAGTAAGCGGAAGTGGCAAGATCTGCACTTAAGGAGTCTAGCTTTGAAGCCTGCACTTGTACCCACTATGTCTTAATGCTCATCTTCGTGGTACTGTTGTAATTAGCTAGTTATGAATAATAGGAAAGGCGCAAAGGGGAAAGCCAGACATTATAAACATGTTGTTTGGGCAGGTTTATCAGGAAGCTTCACCGGGAAGCATGTTGTTTGCACTCCCCAGGGAACCACTGGCCTATTCCTTGCAAAACACTGGGGGAAGGGATCTAACAAAGGGGTGATAGATGCATGCCCAGTAAAGGGGGAGTGGGGTGACAGGGAAGGTACTTGCCTGTCAGTCACACCTGGGAACAGAGATCATTGGCCAGAATGGGCGTGACCACTGCAAACTCCAGAAAAGTTGGGAATACATAATGCCTAAACAAAGAAGTGCACTCTCTTGTTGCTTTTGTGGTTCTCTCTTGGCTTCCCGGCATTCGCCCATGTTTCCTTCATAGCCATGCAGACCTCGCATGCAATGGGTTAATGGACTGCAGCAGGAAACATAAGCTAAGCTAGCCTGATGCTGCATTGGACGGTCCCGACATGGAACGGAAACTCTGGACACTGGCTCTGACTTTAGTCCCCTTGAAGCCCCAGCTACACTTCTTCTATGACTGGACTAAGGGAAATGGGACCTTGGAAACCCAGGGATCTAATTCCACAAAAATAAAACTTTCTATGATATCTCATTCTCCCATGTGAGTCTCGGAAAATTTTTTTCTTGGGATATTGTAAGAAATCCACCCCTACTAGCAACCAGGTGAGAAAAGGCTCTCTCCCCTCCGGTAACATTCAGAGAATTGGCTGGTTTGAAGGTCACCACAACATTTATTTACTTTTTTCCCTGGAAAAGTAACAAATATTCAGCAATGTTCAGAGGTTTGGTAGACTTCTAATAGGCCCTAGGAAGACTCTGGCTCTCCACTGGTAAATGTTTTATTTAGAATGTGGATTACCTAATGTCTCTGTCCCCAGCTTTGAGTCCCAGGTACCTATTCTAGGAAACAGGAAAAGTCCATTCAACTTCCTATTATTATGCCAACATCTCTCTACTCTCAACTTGGCTGAAACCAGGTCAGCCATTTCCCCTGTCACCCCTCTTTCCTCTCTAGCTCACACAGGGACTGATGCACAATTAGGTCCATTTTCAGAGATCTGATGCCCTTGGGCTACAAGTTTTGGAGTGTCTTTACCTCCTCTGTTTGGTTGGCTTCTCATATCCAGCAAGTCCCTTCTGGCCTGGCCCTCCTCCCCAGACAGTGGCCTTCCGATCTCATCAGACTAATCCACCTAGAATACTAGGGCTCCAGCAGGAAGGACAAGGCGTTCTCAAGCTCGGTAGTTGCAGAGTGTAATATAGGTGTTGGTGGCAAGAACGGCACCAGGCATTAGACCGATGGGGATCAGACTGAATCTTGGTTCAACCTCAGTACTTTTCTGGCTAAGAAAGAATTCAGAGCCAAGATTCAAACTACGAGAGAGTTTACTGAGAAAGTCACAGAGGTAGAAGTGATCCATAGAAGAAATGGACTTAGGAAACAGTTACAGAGGCAAAAGAAAGGGCCGGTGGATCTTAGGAAAGAGGAAAAAAATGGTAATGTGTGATGAGGCGGGATGATGGGGAGAAGAAGTCTCCGTAGAGTGGTGAGGGCCCAGGCTCTGAATCTAGAGAGACTGGGTTTAGACTCCAATTTTACCAGTTACTAACGGGACTAGTACTTCATCCCTCTGAGTCCGTCTATTGTCACTTGTAAATGGGGATGATTCTGGTAGCATTTTACTGTGATGGGGTTAAATGAAATGACGGATGTAAAGAGACTGACGTAGCATAGGCACTCAACGGGAAGGGACTGAGTTTTACTCACCTTAGAACCCCTGCCTCGCACATAGGACGTTCTTGGGAATGTTCCTGTCCTGTACTGGCGGTGAGCCCTTCGAGGATTTGGGAGCTGGTGGTGGTAGCAAGTTCTGAGGTAGCTAATGCTTCCTCTCCACGTCGTTGCCAGACCCCCTCTGCCTGCCGCTGAAGGTTTTCACCACTCAACACCCATTTTCCCAGCACCTTCTTTGTATGAGTCCTTTTTTTTTTTTTTTTTTTTCCAATCCTCATCCGAGGACATTTTTCCATTTTTTGTTCAGAGTAGGAGGGAAAGAGAGGAAGGGGGGGGGGTGGAGAACATCGATGTGAAAGGGATACATGGAGTGGCTGCCTCCCCCATGATCCCAACCAGGGCCAGGGACAGACTGCAACTGAGGTACGTGCCTAACCGAATCCGGGTGTCTCTGGACCGCAGGCCGCCGCTCTAACTGCTGAGCCAAACGGGCCAGGGCTGTATGAGTCCTTGAGATGCCTCAGCCTGAAGGCTGCTGTGGAGAATCTCGTCATAATTTCCTTCCTGTGTCCTGGCTTACACTGCCCTCTGGTGTATGCTATGGGACAAGCATGTTAAATGAGGGTTGGGGTGACTTTATTGACATTGAGGAAGAGGCGCCCCCATAGCGGCTGTTTGCAGTACTGTTGGGGGGAAGAGGTAGTGTTTAAGACTCCCCTCCCCAATTTAGCTTGCAACTCCTAAGGTTTACCAAACATGAGGTTATGTCCCTGACCATTCAGCCATCAAATAATACCATCCTTCTAGTCTCAAGTTTGTCTCTATGGCAGGCAATTTGTGTTTGGCCAAGACCCAAAAGGAACAGGGTGGTTTGATGTCATTCCCCATCTGCTGTTTGTTTTTCTCTAATCCCCGGACACCTCATTCTTAGAGCTTCCCCAGCTGCTCTCAAGGGTCTAGGGTCACAGAGGGCATCGGAGCCAAGAGAGAATCAACCCTCCCTATCCAGTTCCTGCAGTAGCCTGCCCATCCACCTGCTTCCACCACCTTGCCTCCTATCTGATGTCCCTGCTCAGAGCTGAGCTCCAGAGCAGTGAAGGCGAAGTGGGGTCCCGCAGGCCAGAGGGGGTCATGGGTGCTTAAGTCCAGCACACCTTCTGCTGCCTTTGCCATGGAACCTGCTCGAAGCATGCGTCTTTTACCATTAGGCTGAACTATGAAATTGCCAATATGCAACCATTTTTTACCTACACAAACATCAATTTCATATGGATTGACATAATACTTAGGCACATAAACACTGTGTGTATTAGTGGTTGCCCTGGAGTCCCAAGTTCCCAGGCTCATTCAGATCAAGACTCAAGGATCCAGGACTGTTGAGTTGCAAGGAGGGCCCTAAGGCCCTAGAGAAGGTCAGGTTGACCTCAGGGGCCCAGGACCCACCCCACTCTCTGGCCAGGCCCCTCTGTTCCCCTGGGGGTTTGCACAGTCACCTCCAGGCCGGGCTTGGTTGGGGGTACAAAACCAAGGGAGGAGCCCCCAGTGCAGTGCCAGGCGGCAAGGGACCTGGAGAAGTTCTTCTGGTCAGGTGATGCGCACCCTCCCAGTGAGATCCACAGGGTCTCAAGAGGGGAGGAAGCTTTGAGTTTATGGACACTCCCAGCACCCCTACCCTTACCACTGCTGCCCAAACCCAGCAGCCTGGTGCTGGGTGCCTTCCGACGTGTGACCTCTGCAGGCCACCAGGACCCTTCAGGTGGCTCCTGTGCCCCACCAAACCTCAGGGCCGGCTGCCCAAGCAGGCTCAGGGCAGGAGGCATATAAAATTCGTCCAAAGGATGAAGGCAAAGTGGCCCGGGAGGTTTTAAAGCTGGAGAGTCACGGGAGGTCTAGGAGTTGAAATTCACAGGACTCACAGAGAGTTTCAACTCTGAGATTCACCTGCCTGCCCTGAAATCCCTGATCTAACAGATAGGTCTTGATGGCTTGAAACCTGGTGGTGCAGGTTAGAGACCTGGTCTCTTTCCTCCCAGGAGGATGCAAATAGGAGAGGGAGGGTCTCAGCTCAGACCATTTTAGCATCCATCCATCTATCCATCCATCCATCCACCCACCCATCCACTCATTCATTAAACAAATGGTTATTGTATGCTTATATGTACCAGGCACTGTGCTAAGTACTTGGTGTATAGCAGTGAACAAAGCAGACAAAAGTCTCTGCCCTCCTGGCATTGCAGCATCTTGGATCATACCATTAATAACGATGCTGTTGCCCAGCTAACATTTCTATTACAAAATCCATTGCCTTTACCATGGGATAAGGTAATTAAATAGGTAAAATGTGTTTTTTTCCTAAACTTTAGTAGAGGAGATGCCCTTGATATAATGTTAAATAAAAAAGCATAAGAGAGAATTGTATACGTAGTTTAGTTCCAGTTATGTTAATATTTATGTGCATAGAAAAAGGACAGGTGGAAAACAGCCCCTAAATATTAGTCGTGGTGTGATAGACTGTTTCATACGATGGCCACAACAAGGTCCCCATACCCTAGGCTCTTCATACAACGTGCCCTTGATTCTCCCATTGAGAGATGTAGCCAAGGTTTCCTCTCCCTGCATCCATGACAAGATGGCTTCTTCCTGGTCCTCCTGGGATGCTCCTATTTGGAATGCCAGACACTGTGAGAAACCACATGGAAAAGCCATGTGTAAGTGATTTGGCCAAAGCCCCAGCTGAAGTCCCAGCTGATGGCCGACACAAGTCACCAGACACGAATGAGGAAACTCGAGCCACCTTCTGACTGCAACCCCATGAGAGACCCCAAGCATAAACACCTTAGTTTAGCCTAGCCGACCCCCAGAATTAGGAGATAAAATGGATAGTTTGGGGTGATTTTTTATATGGCAATCGATATCCAGAAAAAGTGGTTTATCTAGATTGGGGGACTATGGGTATTAACACTACTTTTCTGTATTTTCCAAGATTTTTACAATGACCATTTACTTTATAATCCGTGAATAATTATTATTAAAAACACGGTGTGAATTTTTCACTTCACCGAGGGAGAAACAAGATCTGAATTTGAATCGAGGGACTTAAACTAGACTTGAGAAAAGCTTTCCATGCAAGACCGATCCGATGCTAGAAGGGATCAGTAGGATAAATTCACATCGGTGTGATGGAGAGAGTGGCGGCTTTGGAGTGAGGAAACCTGGAAATAAATCAGCTTTCTGGGTGACCTTGCTCAAGCCCTTGCTCACATTCAGCTTCCTCTTTTGGGAAAAGCAGCTGGCTGCCTAAGGGAGATGAGGTCCGCCAGGGGCCTGGCCCGGAAAAGGCGCTCTGGAAGGGGTGGGCGAGCCCGTCTAATCAGCGCCAGTTATAAGCGGGCATCGCAAGCTTTGCGGAAGGCTCATCCTTCACTGCCGCCGGAGGCCACGGCTCCAATAATGAAATTGCCCAGAGAAGAGCCATGGTTTCTTTTTCCTTTCTTAGTTTTTCTTTTTAATCCAGAAACGCGGAGCAACTTTTCCAGGGGTCCTTGCCCACGACGCCCCGCCTTGGCTGAAGCCTCTAGTTCTGCCCATGTCGTGACTCCATCTCACGCCCAGGACCACCGAGCCCGGGGTGCAGAGGGGGGAGGAGCTGGTGCGAACCTGCCGCCTGGCGATGCTGGCGCGGTGTCCTGGCAACCCCGGAACGCGCCCCGGAACGCGCTTCGGTGGGAGCGGCGGGCTCTCGGTTCCCCGCCAGGCACCCGGCAGTTCGGCCGCCGGTTGGTGCGTTGAGCTCACTGTGTCTTCCCCGAGTCCTCCCAGCGTAGAGCCCGGCCACCTCTGGGGGAAGGGGGCGGAGGACCCGCGGGGGAAGGGAAGGCACACCTCAGGCGGCCCGGGCAGTGAGCCCACTGGGGCTGGGAGAGGCCTCACGGGAGCCCTGGAGGCGGCCAGCCGAGAACCCAGGTGGAGGGAGCCAGGGAGGCTTGAGGCCAGCCCTGCCCTCTTGACTTTGAACGGCTTGTGGCGGTTCTGTTTGTGTTGATTGCTACCTTTCTTACAAAGGTCTTTTCTTTTTCTCCGGGTTGCTTTTAATATTCGAAATAAACACGTTCAGAGACCAGAAAGGGCCCAAGGGGCTGTCATCTCCCCTCCATCGCCAGAGAGACCTGCAGCGGAGAGCTGGGGAAGGTGCAAGAGAGAGGAGACTCCGGCATGACCTCGGTGGAGAGGACACACAGTTGAGTTTAAGCAATCAGGAGGGCTGGGTGTGGATTTGAGCCTCCTACCAAGTATACTAGAACCAGGAGACACCATTTCAAGTTTAAAAGGAGGCTAGTTTGGGGGCATGTAAAAAACAACTACTTGTGTCTTTATTAACCCTTTATTAACTCTGATAAGGCAGAGAGTCTCATAGGTGACCTCCCTGGACCTCAGAACAGCCCCCCGAGGGTATATTACAAATAGGTAGAGGGAGTCGAGATTTGACTAGCCCCGTACTTCAGTTAATAAATGGTGAAGCTGGGATTTGATACAAGTTTTCTGGTTTCCAAAGTCCATGCTTTTTCTTTCTCTTCGCTCATATATTAGTAGATTTGTGGCAGTGTTTATTGGATGGCACAGGTCAAGTAGAAATTATGACCACTTTAAAGAAAGGTTTAAATTAAGTAATGGACGGTAGTTCTGCAATTGGTTCTTAAGGCTGAGGAGGACGGATGGGAGAACATTTGCCTTGAGAGAACAGTGTCATGGAGCAGAACAGCCAAAGTTTTCTCAGAAAATCTCAGTGTGAGTATAATATGCCCAGGTTGACATTTACTTGTTACAGGTGAGTGGCCTGTATGCTGCAAAAAGGGATTGTATAATTCTATCTCTTCCCTATCAGATCTTAGCTTGGTCCCTGGCCTTCTGCATCCAGGTCCTCGCTCTCCTCATCCTCCTCTGTAAGTACAGGGAGAGGAGGGAGCTGTGACTCACCACACCCATTTATAAGTGGGGCCCGTGGAGCAGGAGGAGATAGAATCATTCATTGCCCCACATGCCTAGCTCAGCAAGGAGAAAACGGTCCTGGAATTCTAATTTTAAGCTCCAGACTTCTCTACAGTTTCCAGGTGAATCTGGGTTAAGAAGGAGGCTGTTGTTTTAAGGGTAGGATGGAGGGGCTCCATGTTTCTGAGTTAGGGGCACCAGCCCCTCAGATCCCCAAACTACATTAACCAAAGCTCCGTGGCTTCCTTTCCTGCTCTGTAGGTACGTCCATTCAGGAGACCACACATGAGCTCATGGGTTTTAGGAATGAATGGCTCTAAAAACCAGTTGAAGATGAATACACAACTGTGGGCGTACATGCATTTTTTTCCAAGGAGAAGGCCCATTGCTTTCATTACTTCTCAGGGAGTCCATGTTCCAAAAAAAAAGGGGGGGGGGTAAAAACCACTGTCCCAGATCCTTAGGTTGTCTATTGAGCATATAAGCAAGGGTGGGAAACTGAGTGTTTAGTTAAAGAGTATCCACATTAAGCTCACTTGGTTTGATATATTATTTTCTCCCTTCTAGATAGTGCTATTGTGCAAATCAGCTGAGATGACAAGCTTGTGAGAGAGCCATGGTTATGTAAGGTGTTATTCCTGCCTAAATAAATTGCAATAATTATCCTGAATTCTACAGATGGTACCAAAGAAACTGAATTTCTTCCAAACTCTCCTTTCGCCCTGAATTCCTTTCCAGTCATCAGAACCTTCACTTGGTCCCTTTGGTTGCATTGTCTTTCCTCATCTCATAGTGTTTTTTTGTTTGTTTGTTTGTTTTTCCAATATTTTTTCTTTATTGATTTGAGAGAGAGAGGAAGGGAGAGGAAGAGAGAGATAGAAACATCCATGAGAGAGAACATCGATTGACTGCCTCCTGCATGCTCCTCACTGGGGCATGTATAGTATCTGAAATACTATAGTATAGTATAGTATTGGAAAAAACCGCAATAGAGTGAAGCCACAAATGTCGAAGCGGGAAGTGGCGAGGGACGACTGTACTTGATGTCCCTCTACACACGGGAGCATCAGCATCAGAGAGGAAGGGCTCAGACTCTCCCACCTGAGCAAGTGTGGAGAGGCAGCTTGAGCCCACGTTTAAGTGTCTCTGGGTTGTGTTTGAGGCTGAGTTACTTCCAGAAAGATTCTGTAGGCAGTTGGATTTGAAGAACAGGCTGTTTGCCAGTTTAATAGAGAGGCTGCTCTTTTTGTCCTTGCCTGTCAGATGTCTTCCCTGTTATTGCAGCCCCAGGCCACTTTCTAGAGTGTTGCCAAAACAAAACTTCTTAGCAAACAAGGAAATATGCTAAATCTGTAGATGAGATTTCACTGCTCACTGTTCAGGGTTATGTAATACAGGTACATTCAAATTTTGCCCGGAAAATGAAACAAACAGACAAACACCCTCCCCCCCCTCAAAAAACCTGTTAAGGGGCCCCTCTGATACAATCTGTAGCAACCAATTCTTGCTTTAGTGAACTTTCAAATCCTCTATTGGCAAATATAAAATTAAAATGTTTACATGCTATGAAAAGGCAACAGCTGTTAAAACCTATGGGCTGTCGCCCTGGCCGGTTTGGCTCAGCAGTTAGAGCGTCGGCCTGCGGTCCAGAGAGACCCGGGTTCGGTTCCCGCTAAGGGCATGTACTTCGGTTGCAGTTTGTCCCCGGCCCTGGTTGGTCGTGCGGGTGGCAGCCACTCGATGTGTCCCTTCACGTTGATATTTCTCTCTCTCTCTCCCTCCTATTCTATCTGTACAAAAAATGGAAAAATATCCTCGGGTGAGGATTAAAATAAAAAAAAAAACAAAAAAACCTATGGGCTGTTAAAATGATCAGAAGTCAATACTATAATAAATAACTCAGAACTTATATATGGGAATCAACCTAGAAGACATCTCTGACCTTGATCTTATTTCTTCTCTACATATGTGAGTTCTTTCTGCATCCTTATATGTACGTTGTGTACTTTTTACATAGATATCTTTCTAGAAGTAGAACCATTGGATGAAAAGTGCACTTCTCATAGGCTTCAAAGGACACTTGTGGCCAAATTGCTCTTTAGTAAGATGGAGATATTTCCACTAGCAATGTACAAGGATGCCATTCCTCCAGACTGGACCAACATAGGGTGTTTGCAAACCGATAGCAAATAATAGTATCTCATTTTAAATTCAGCTCTTTGGTTTTTAGGAAAGATGAACTTTCCCCCAAATGTATATTGGCTATTTGTATGTATGTGTGTATTTTATTTAATGAATTACCTAGTCATGTCTTTTGCGCATTTTTTTCTCTTTGGGTATTTATTTTCATCTAATAAATTTATAAAAACATAATTTGTTATGACTATTAACTCCTTATTGTGTATGTTATAAATTTCTCTCTAGCTTATAGTTTGCTGTAGAAGTTTTAAATCTATATGTATTCAAATCTATTCACCTTTTCCTTTATTTTGCCTGTATTTGATATCTTTCTTAGAAATAACTCCCCGACTCTAAGATTATATAAACATTCACTTATCATTTTTTTTCAGGTACATCTTTTAAGTTTTATATTCAAATTTGTAATTTATCTAGAATTTGTTTTGAGATAAGGGAGATTTAATTTTATTTTCATTCCAAATGGTTAATTAGTTGTTCCGGCAATATTTTTTATTTTTATTTAAAAATTTTTTTCTTTATTGATTTTAGAGAGAGAGGAAGGGAGAGGGAGAGAGAAATAGAAACATCAATGAGCGAGAATATCGATTGGCTGCCTTCTGCATGCCCCCCACTGGGTATTTGGCCCACAACCTGGGCATGTACCCTGACTGGGAATTGAACCGGCGACCTCTTGGTACATGGGTCGACGTCGCTCAACCTCTGAGCCACACTGGCTGGGCCCAGCAATATATTTTTTTTATCCTCACCCGAGGACACTTTTGCATCTATCTTCAGACAGAGTGGGAGGGAGAGAGGTGGAAAGAGAGAGAGAGAGACACATCGACTGGTTGCCACCCACACAACCCCAATCTGGGCCAGGGAGGTACGTGCCCTTAGCGGGAACCGAACTCGGGACTCTGTGGTCCACGGGCCAACGCTCTAACTGCTGAGCCAAAACGGCCAGGGCCCAGCAATATTTTTTAAATAATCAATTCTTTCTTCCCTGAGATAAAATGCCACTATCATCATATAAAATTTTATTCTATCTACATTTTCCATTTTGTTCTATTGATTTTTCTGTTAGTGTTGTGTCAGTACCATCTTGATTATTGAAATACATTTTATAAATTATACACCATAGCGCTGTAACTTTGCACACATTACTTGACATTTCAGGTTCTCAATTTCTTTATGTGTCAAGTTATTTCTGTTTTGCCTATAATCATGACCTCCTTTTTCTTTTTCGAGTTTTTTTTTTTTTAAATCCTCACCTAAGGATATTTTTCTATTTATCTGCAGATACAGTGGGAGGGAGAAGGAGAGAGAGAGACATCAATGTGAAAGAGACACATCAACTGGCTGCCTCCTGCATGACCCCGACCAAAGCCAGTGATGAACCGCAACCAAGGTACCTGCCCTTGATCAGAATCGAACCGGAGACTCATTGATCTGTGGGCTGATGCTCTAACCACTGAGTAAACCCAGCCAGGACATGACCTCCTTTTTCTTCATAATACTGTATACTCGTGTTCAAAATTTTTTCTTGAACTTTGTTGTTAGGTTCTTCCATGAAGCTATAGTTCTGATAATCTTCATTTCATTCATTTCTGTTTTTTATTTTATGATTTACTTCCTTATCATTTGGGGGGATTTTTTTCTTTTCTTATTTCTTGAATTGAAAACTTAGCTCGTTAATTTTGGAATCTGGTTTTTACACTTTAACCCATCATTCATTCCAAGATGACCCTTTTTCACAGTTTGCATCTCTGAAGTTGGGTTGGTCTAAGTGGTACTGTGGGCCCAGGGCGAGGTGTGAAGTATTTGCCACAAGCTTTGCTGTGTGAGCACTGAACAATGCAGAAGGCGTGTCTGTGGCTTGGAAGGAAATTCCAGAGGCAGGAGAGGAGCACTTCTTTAGAAATGCTGCATCACCCACGTCATTGTTGCGCAGAGGTCAACGTAGGTGGAAAATGTGGACATCAGTGATTGAGCTGAAAAGTGAGTTGTTAATCAGATTTTTCGAATGTGAGTATGGTTTGAGAATGCCTCAACAAATTTGCTTATATTTTTCTTCTTTAAATATTCATATGAGTGATTGCTTACTTAAAATCTCTAAGTAAGTGTAAAAGAGTGCTTTGATAAGTATAAAATAGTCCGCTGGTGTGACTCTGTTTGAGTGTTGACTCATGCACCAAGAGGTTGCCGGTTCGATTCCTGGTCAGGGCACATGCCCAGGTTGTGGCATGCAGGAGGTGACTAATTGATGTTCTCTCTCATCGATGTTTCTGTCTCTCTGTCCCTAAAATCAATAAAGGAAAAAAATAAGTATAAAATAAATATTATAAATGATAAAGTATTGTGGCATAGTTTAATTGGCAGCATTTGTTTTTTGTGGTGCAGAAAATAATAATGTTATTACAATGGATGGTGTCTTACAATCAGTGAAATACAGTATATACATTTAAGGCACAAGTTTCTCATGACTGCTTTTGTTGAATCCCATAAGTTTTGGTACATAGTACTTATGTCGTTGATCATTAAGCACTTCATGCTTTCCATTAAGATTTCTTCTTTTATATGAAATATTTATAAATGTGGTTTGACTTTCCAAGCTTATGGATGCTTTTTGGCTGTCTTTTTTATAATTGATTTTTAATTGTATTGCATTGTGGTCAGAGAGTGTGGAATGTGTTATATTAGTTGACGATACTTTTGTGGCTCAGTGTATGTGTGGTTAGTTCTTTGGCTGCCCGGACCTGGGCTGCTTTCTCGCCCCTCCACTGGGCTTCACCCCATCCCAACTACTCACACCTTCTCCGTACCTGGGGCTGCTCTGAGCCCCGTGGCATGTTCCTGAACAGCTCTTCTCATACTTGGCTGGCCCTGAGAACCAGTCACCTGAGGTGCTTCTTAAACGCACTGATTCCCAGGTCTTCCCTGGTAGGTCTGGGTCCGAGCCCTGGAATCTGCATGTTATTGAACAGAGGGGAGTTGGTTTCCTGACCAGGCAAATGCAGGCATACCAGTGCAGTCAGGGGTCAGGGAGCAGGACGGGATAGCATGCAGTGCTGGGGTGGAGCTGGACTTGCAGAGGAGCAAAATCTCTGCCAAACCTGAGCCTAAGAGCTACGGAGTGTGTCTGTGTGTCTGTGTGTGGGGGGAAGGCTTGTTCAAAATGAGGGTTCCCAGGCCCCACTTAGAGAGTTCTAATTCAGAGGGTCTGCGATGGAATTTGGGGATCTGTATTTTAAATTCTGATGCAGACAGTCCTTATGGCCTACCCTGAGAAACCCCAGAATGGGGATAGTGTGAGAGAGGAAGTAGCTCAGCTGGCCTTCAAATGTTGTAGCGTCATCCTCGTACGAGTAAAGGGTTTGGCGACAGGGTTGGGACCTGACAAGGGTGTAAAAGATATGTTCCACTTGCTATATGAATCTGAGAGGGAGCCGGTTAGAAAGGAATAACGAATTATCTGAGTAGCAGTCCCACTGATACATGATGGGAATTTGCAAGTGGCCCGAGGTCTAAACCCTATACATGTGCACATGATGCAAGGAGGTGGAACAGCAGTCAGTCTGAACATGCACTAAGAGTCAGAGAAGTCTGAGTCTTATTTCTGAAAGTTTTCTTATAACCAGAAGTTACATTGTGTCTATTGAGCTTCTATGTTGTATGAAGTTATGCATTAAGAAATGCACTATCCATTTATTTGGCATTTAAAAAAAGTGAGTGGACAAGGCACCCACCTACATACAATGATGAAGGAACAGGCTGTCTTTCATGAAGCAGTAACTGTATAACAGAGTGAAGACAATGGTTACTCTTCTCTACCTAATATTCAAAGGCCTCCCTTACTTGTAGTTGTGGGTGACTGGAGAGTTATACTTTTTTTCATTCATTGAACATCTTTTTTGTGCTAGGCCCTGTACCTGGGGCTACTTAGTTCTGAGTGCTGCTAAGATGACAAAGACACAGTCTGAGGAAGTTGTGTGTATAAGTTGTGTGTATAGGTGAATGACAGCACTACAGTGTGAGGGGAACTCATGGAAGTTTCTGAAGACAGTTCTTAAGGGTTATGGTCACTAGCCATATTCATTAATCTATCTATGAACAAGTCCTTTGGAGAATTGTATTGAGATGCTCAGTAAATGCGCAGTGACATACAGCTCGAGTCGGATCAGGTTCTTTCACTTAGTTCCGAGTAGACGGACTGACCGGGGGCGCAAGCAGTCTGGCATCGTGGCCAGGAGTTCAGACTGCAGTGTCACAAAGCTGTGCTTGAATCTGGGCCAAGATGTTTACTTTCTTTGTGATTTTAGGCAACTCGTTAAATTCCTGAGCCTCAGTTTCCTCAGCTGTAAAATGGAAGGATAAATAATACCTACATCTGTGAGTAGTTATGAGAATTAAATGGAAAAATGTGTGTAAGATGTCAGCACGATCCCCAGTATACAACAAATTCTCAAAAAATGTTAATTAAAAATTTTTAATTGATTTTAGAGAGAGGAAGTGAGAGAGAGAAACATCGATGTGAGAGGGAAAGATCTATCAGTTGCCTCCTGAACAAGCCCCAACCAGGGATCAAACTCACAACCTGGGTATGTGCCCTGATTGGGAATTGAACCTGCCACCTTTTTGTGTACAGGCCGATGCTCCAATCAACCAAGCCACACTGTCCAGGGCAAGATCGCTAATAAAAAAAATTACAATCTAGGGAACAAGGTAGAGTTAAAAGTATTTTCATTAATGTAACTAAATGGCGATATCTATGTGTTGCAGGTACTAAACACAAGGACATTCTGGAATCTGAGGGATGTTGTGCCAACACCACATCCTCTGGCCAAAGGGTCAGCCCCTCATCTTCTGCTGTACTAGGTCCAAGTGTCAGTGAGCTTCCAGGCCCCTGCAGAGCGTCTGCTCACCTAGAGTAAGTAAGGGGCCAGTAAAGAGCCATAGACAGTGGGGCGGATTCTGACCAGCGAGCCTGGCAGTAGCTTGGCATCTTTGGCAAGAGCAAGGATTCTGGAGCCAGACAGGGTTTAAATCCCAGCTCTACCAGTTAGCATCTGTGTGAACTTGGCCAAGTGATTGGATGACTCTCGGGCATATAATAAATGCTGTGCAAATGCTTGCTAGCTTGAAGTTCAGATGCAGGTGAAACTTAACTAAACTATATTTTTTAGGAATGCACACATACATACATAGGTGGTAAATCTTACAGGGAAGCAAAGAAGTGATTACCACGAGGGTCAGGGTCAGGATGGTGGTTACCTCTCCGGGTCAAGGGACACACAGATGTTTTCTGAGGAGTGGAAGGGGAGGGCCTTGTTTGGTTGTTTCTTGCCCTGGATGTTGGCTTTATAAGTATTTATAAAACTGTATTTATATTTTATGTTTTATGTATTTTCTCTGTTTATATTTCTTTTGCAGTAACATTTTGAAAATTTTGTTATAACAAATTTTGTTATAATGAAAGTAATTTCAATTTATTGTAAAGTTGTGAAAATATTAAAGCAGTATTTAAAAAATTACAGTAACTCCACCTCTTAGAGAACCAATGTTAACATTTTGATGTTTTTAATATGTATAAGAAAAAGACTGCTTTTTTTTTTTGTGTGTGTGTGTGTGTGTTAATCCTCACCTTAGGATATTTTTCCATTAATGTTTAGATAGAGTGGAAGGAAGGGAGGGTGGAGGGAGAGAGAGAGAGAAAGAGAGAGAGAAGGAGAGAGAAATATCGATGTGAGAGAGACACGTCAATTGGTTGCCTCCCTCATGCACCCCAACCTGGGCTGGGGATCAAACCTGCAACCTAGGTACGCGCCCTTGACCGGAGTTCAAACCTGTGACCCTTCAATGAGAGGGCCGATGCTCTATCCACTGAGCCATACCGGCCATATGTTTTTATTGATTTTTTAAAGAGAGAGGAGGGGAGAGAAAGATAGAAACATCCATGTAAGAGAGAGACATCAGTTGGCTGCCTCCTGCACACCTCCTACTGGGGATCAAGCTGGAAACCTGGGCATGTGCCCTGACTAGGAATTAAACCAGGACTTCTCAGTCCATGGGACCACGCTCGATCCACTGAGCCACACCAGCGGGACATTGCAGTCTTTTTAATGCAGTTCTTAGGAGAGATTTATTTCATCCCAATGTCAAAATTATCCTGTTCTGAACTGGGGGGCTTTGAGTTATTGCACTTTTTTACTCTGTTCACCCATTTAAAGTGTTCAACTCAGTGGTTTTTAGTGTATTTTGCAGAGCTGTGCAACCATTACCACAATTTTAGAACATCTTCATTCTCCCAAAAAAGAAGCCCGTACCCTATACCAAAGTTCAAAGATACTTTTACTTAAAACGTGTGTGTTACTGAACTAGGATGTTATGATTGTCAGGCAACATAGTCTAGTGAGGCTGCGGATCAAGCTCTGACCCTGACTAAGTATGTTTTATTCATAACTTCTCCGAAGGTTCATTTCCTTTCTTTAAAAATTAGTTTTTCTTTATTGATTTTAGAGAGAGAGGAAGGGAGAGGGGGAGAGAGAGAGAGAAACATCGATGAGCGAGAACATCGATTGGCTGCCTCCGGCATGTCCCCCACTGGGCATTGGGCCCACAACCTGGGCATGTGCCCTGACCAGGAGTTAAACTCGACCGCTGAGCCACACCAGCTGGGCCCATTTCCTTTTCTTTTTCAAATTAATTAATTTATTTGTGTTACAGATGTTTCTCCTCCCCCCCCCCACTGATTCCCCCTCCCTTTCCCTCCCTGCCCTGTCCCCAGCTTTGTTGTCCATGTCCATTGTTCATGCATACACGCATATAAGTTCTGTGGTAATACAGACTGGTGCAGCCACTATGGAAAACAATATGGTGTTACCTCAAAAAATTAAAAATTGAACTTCCATTTGGCCCAGTGATCCCACTTCTAGGAATATACCCTAAGAAGCCTGAAACACCGATCAGAAAGAATATATGTACCCCCATGTTTATAGCAGCACTATTTACAATAGCTAAGATCTGGAAACAGCCCAAGTGTCCATCAGTAGACGAATGGATAAAAAAGCTGTGGTACATATATACAATGGAGTACTATGCAGCTGTAAGAAAGAAAGATCTCTTATCCTTTGAGATGACATGAAGGGACCTAGAAAGTATTATCCTAAGTGAAACAAACCAAACAGAGAAAGACAAGTATCATATGATCTCACTTATTTGTGGAATATAATGAACATAACAGTCTGAGTAATGGTGTAGTCCCAGAGACGTGGAAGTGGGGTACAGACTGACAATCCCCATTTCCTTTTCAAGTGGAAATGATTCTGTTGGCCCGACCTACATGACAAGATTGTCAGTAGGGAGCAAACACAAGCAATGTGAGGTTACTTTGAAATGATTCCGATATCAGGGTGATGTAATCTTATGAACAGAGAGCCTGTGGTTTGATACCGTAACTGTACCTGAACACGTTAGGCCAGGCCATCTATCACACGCAAAGCCACTTAAACCAAAATGCTTGCTTTTCCTGCCAACACCCACTGTACTTTGTTGTGGGGCCTTTTAACTGCCAGGAAGTTCAGCTCCAAACATAATGCTTCCTTATTATAAACACTTCAATCTAGGTTTGTTTTTTATTGTTTCCTTCTCTTCTTTTTATACTTATTGCTGTTTTATTTCCATTTAACGGTTTTATTGAACATGCATCTTTTTTGCAAGTTTTCTTGAAGCATAATTCATATACCATATAATTCACCCATTTAAAGCGTTCAGCTCAGTGGTTTTTAGTGTATTTGCAGAGCTGTGCAGCCATTACCACAGTTCTAGAACCTTTTCATTCCCCTGGTAAAGAAGCCCGTACCCTCTAGCAGCCACCACCCCATGTCTGCTGTCCCCCCAGCCTTAGGCAAGCACTAATCTACTTTTTATCTCTATAGATTTGCCTGTTCTGGATGAGTCATATAAATCGAATCACTAATATGTGGTTTTTGGTGTCTGGCTTATTTAACGTAGCATCATGTTTTCAAGGTTCATTAATGTAGTAACATGTATCAGTAATATCATTTCTTTTTTTTTTTTTAATCCTCATCTGAGGACATTTTTCCATTTTTGTTCAGGGAGAGAGAGGAAGAGAGGGAGAGAGAGAAACATCAACGTGAAAGGGACACATTGAGTGGTTGCCACCCACACGACCCAACCAGGGCCGGGGACAAACTGCAACCAAGGTACATGCCCTTAGCGGGAACCGAACCTGGGTCTCTCTGGACCGCGGGCCAGTGCTCTAACAGCTGAGCCAAACTGGCCAGGGCACATCATTCCTTTTTAAAAAAATTTTGGTAAAATATACACAGCTTAACATTTGTCATTTTATCCATTTTAAGTGTACAATTCAGTGTCATTAATTACACTTACAATGTTGTGCAATTATCACTACTATTTTAAAAATATTTTCATCACCCCAAACAGAAACTCTGCATCTCATAAGCAATAGTTACCAATTCTCCCCTCTCCGCAGCCCCGGGTACTCTAATCTACTAACTTAATTTGCTTCTGTCTCTGTGAATTTACCTGTTGTAGATATTTCATACAAGTGAGATTCATCCATGTGTGATATATATCAGAACGTCATTCTATTTTATGTCTGAATAATATTCCATTGTATGTACATGTGGGATTTTGTCTATCCATTCATCTGCTGATGAACATTTGAGTTGTTTCTACTTATGGGCTCTTATGAATAATGCTGCAATGAATATTTGTATACATGTATCTGTTTGAGTCTCTGTTTTCAATTTATATACACTTGAGGATATGTTGAGAGAGAAAGAGAAACATCGAGGTGAGAGAAACATTGGTTGGTTGCCTTCCATATGCACCCCGACCCGGCGTCAAACCCGCAACCAAAGATGTACAGGCCAACCAACTGAAACACCTGGTCAAGCCTCTGTTTTCAGTTCTTTTGGGTATACCTTAAATGCCTAGGAGTGAAATCGCTGGGTTGTATGGTAATTCAATATCTAAATTTTTGAGAAACCACCAAACTATTTTTTTTAATCCTCACCTGACGATATTTTCCCATTTATCTTCAGACAGAATGGGAGGGAGGGAGGGAGGGAGGGAGGGTGGGAGGGAGGGAGGGAGAGAGGGAGAGAGAAACACCGATGTGAGAGAGACACATCGTACAACCTGGCCAGGGCTGGGGACCAAACGACAACCCAGGCACGTGTCCTTGACCGGCATCGAACCTGCAACTCTTTGGTCTGTGGGCCAATGCTATAACCACTGAGCCAAACCAGCCAAGGCCCACCAAAGAATTTTTAAGGAGCATCTTTTGAATATGTTTTAGTCTCTCAAATTGTGAATAAATGATATGCTCATGGGTGGTATGGAAGAGTAGGCCTCGTTGTCATAAGTGAGGGTAATTCTAGTGTAGGCTATGGAAGAGCAGGCTCTGAATACCAGTCTCCACCCATGGAAGAATGTACTCCTCTGCTTCCCTTCCAGCCTCGCTCCGGATTTGGATCTGAAAGCCTCCTCCTCACATTCTGGTCACTCCTCTGAAACTTCGTTGCCTGAAGTCCAAAAGAATAACTATCACGAGGAGTTTAGCCTCCTCAAGTTGCAGACAAGTGAGTAAGTCACAGATCCTCCTCCACAGGCCTCCAAGCCCAGGGTCTTTCCAGAAGGCTGCCGCACCGTCGGGCGCCACACGCTGAAGACCCACTGAGTGCCAGGCACTGACACACTTCCTCTCTAACTCTCACCACAACTCTGCTGGGGCAAACATCATTGCATGGTGTTCAAAAAGGAAATGACTTTATATGAAAATCATGAAAGAACTGTATCAAAATGCTAAAATAATAAAGAAGTAAATAGCCCTGGCCGGGTGGCTCGGTTAGTTGGAGTGTTGTCCTGTACACCAAAAAGTTATGGGTTCGATTCTCAGTCAGGGCACATACCTAGGTTGCAGGTTTGATCCCTGGTTGGGGCATGTATGCTAGGCAGCCGATTGATGTTTCTCTCACATCAGTGTTTCTCTCTCTCTCCCTCTCTCTCTCTCTCTCTTTCAAATCAATCAAGTATATCCTCTGGTGAGGATTAAAAAAATAAAGAAGTATATAAGGTATATGAAGAAACCCCTTCTCCAGTATTCTCCAACAATATCCCCATTCTTCCCAATAGCTGTGAAGTTAATGTATTCTTCCAAAATTTTGAAATGCATATGTATTTGTATATATAGATATATGAGTAGTAGTGTTCAACCATATTTTCACTAGTACAAAAAAGTATACAACAGTGTGGGAAAAGGCAGGAGGGGGGCAGGAGTGGGGAGGAGGTGGTCAATGGGGGGAAAATGAGGAACATCTGTAATACATTCAACAATAAAGATAAAAACTTAAAATAAATAAAATAAAAGTGGGCCAACAGTAAAAAAAAAAAAAAAAAAGTATACAAACTATTTTCACTCAAAGTGAATAGATCCCGAACCTCTTTCTATGTCAATCCATGTATGGATCTGTGTGGCTGATAGAGACCTCCCCATTTTCCACAGAAGGATGCTGAGGCTTGGAGAGATTCAGTGACCCATACAAGTGCACATAGCTAGGAAGTAGACTGATGGGATTAGAACTCAAACTTGCCTGCCTCTAAAACCTGTGTTTTTTCTTGTCCACTACGGAGCCCAAGTGTTTCTCGAGCAACCATAGAACTATTAGGGGATCTTTTATTGTTAAAATCACTTGAGCAATTTTATAGGAAAAGTTAGAATGAAGAGACAAAGACACTGAGAGGTCCCAAAACTTGCCCGAGACCTCACAGTGGCCTTTCTCATCTGCCATAATCACATGTATACATATTCCGGCGTCACTGTCGTGCATGCCTGTGATTATGGCAAATGAGAAAGGCCATACCCCATGCCAACACCATGTTCCATCTGGTCAAGTTGCCACGGTTGGCCCAGCTCATCCCTGGTTGGCATTCTCTTCTTCCTACCAGCTAATCAGAGTGAAGGTTGGATCATAGGTGTTGGTAAAACTCCGAACTCATACATCACTTAAAGAGGCCGCTGAACTTTCTCCCCACTTCCCTTCCTTTTGTGTCTAGTCCCACAGAGGCTAACCCTGCCCTGGTGTAGGACCAAGGAGTGATGCACGGTGGTACAGGTGGTACAGCCAGAGAGCTGGGGAGTTTCCATGACCTTTTGTCATCCCGTGGCATTATGAGTCTGGAAGTAATGCTAATGGAAGGATTTCAATGTCTTGCAGAAGATGGGCAGCGTCCTGAGTGGACATTTTACCCGAGGTTTAGCAGCAGTATCCACACCTACCATGTTGGAAAGCAGTGCTTCTTTAAGGGTGTCTTCCTCGGCAACAAGAGGTCTCTGTCAGAGAGGACAGTGGACAAGTGCCTTGGGAGGAAGAAATATGGTAATGTATTTTCCTGGACCTTGACTGTGCAATGCCTGAAAATACCTTTGAGCCGTAACTCTACAGGCCCAGCATCCTGTCGCTGGGGCTAGCCCTTCGAGGCCACTGTGTCAGCCTGGTGCAGCCAGGAAGATAGGAAGGTGAGGGGGAGGGTGGGCAGGCTGCACTTTCTGCCAAAGAACTCACAGCATATGCTGATCCATGTTTTTGCTTTTCTCTGAATTTTATGAAATGCTAATGTGACATTTAAGTCGTCAGATAAGTTCTCTCAGATACTTATTAATAGAAACCTTCATTGAAGTTTGAAGAAAATCATTTATGTTGCAGTTAGATGCTGCCTGTCATACGCACTTAAATTGTCCTTTATATTCTTCATGAGGAAAACATCCTATAAACCTTAGCCTGAAGTGGTATATTATTTTATAGCTTATTTAATTAAAGGTAACTGACATGAGCATTTCTTTCTATCTATCTATCTATCTATCTATCTATCTATCTATCTATCTATCTATCTATCATCTATCCATCTACCTACCTACCTACCTGTCTCCTTGGTTTGTAACTTCCTGAGTTCTCTGTCCCAACCTATCCATGATTTATTAAAGACCCTAAAGGGTTGCTGAGAACCAACCGACCTTTAATGGCTCTCTCTTCTCCAGAAATACTAGTGTAGGAGGCAGCCACAGCTTCAGGGATGGATAGTAGAAAGGCTGCAGCAGGAATATAAAGAGAAAGACCTAGAAAGTTCACATTTTTGAGTTTTGAAATAGGCTTTTAAACTCATATCAGTGACAAATAGTTTTGAAACCCAAGGATTTTGTTTAGATAGAGAATACACAAAAAGGCAGATTAGAGGAGGTAGGAGGGTAGTCACTGTCATGGGGGCTTTGAGGAGCCCAACTCCTGAAATCAAAATCTAGTGAGTGATTGGACGTGAATCGAGTGGGGGTTTCTGCCTCAGAATGTGGCTGGGGGGTGATCTTGAGCCTCAGAGGGAGGGGCTATCTGCCCTGACACTGAGTTGGAGAATAGTGATAGCTGTGGGCAGTGGATGGGCAGAAAGCCAGCCTTAGGGTCTCGCCCACCCAGGAGGTGTGGAAGATTAGTTGCCTTTTTGTGCCTGTGAAGGATGTGGAGGTGGGGACAGAGAGAAAGAGAGAGAGCAAGCCAGGAGAGCTGCACAGGTCTCACACTGGAATGCTGGGAGGCCATCAAGCCAGGGGTCTTATGAGAATAAATTTATGCTTCACCTGATGCATTGTGGAGAGGGTGGCTTCCTGAGGCTCAGACCGGATGGTACATTTTAACAGACAATAGAAATAGATGCCAACTCTCAGAGAGTAGCGGAGATAAGGCATGCAGCAGGTACCAGTGTGGTTTGCAGACAGTACCCGAGGCCCCCAAGCCTTCCCCTAAAGCCCTGATGTCGTATAAGGGTACTGTGCCCTCCCCTACTTCCCACTCCCAACTGAGATGCAGCCATAGGGTAGAATAGGAAGGATTTACTTAACTGGTTTAAATCTGACACAACTGAGAAAAACCAAGAAGGGACCAAGTTTAATGCTTTTGGCTGCAAGTAAGAGAAAAACCAAATCGTCAGAGACTTAAATCATAAGGTATTTATTATGTACCTAACAAGAAGCTTTGAAATCTAGGTGACCTGTATGGTCTGGATGCCCAGTAATGTCCTCAAAGGTGTAGGCTCATTCTGTCTTTATGCACTGTCATTCTTAGTAGTGTTGGATTTTATCTTATCAAAAATGCTTATCATGTTATGGTCACAAAATAATTGTTGCAGTTCCAAGCATCATGTGTATATTTAAGACCAGAAAAAGAGGAAACTCTCTTGTTGCTTCCTCCTTTTAGAAGAAAGAAAACGTTTTACCGTATGGGCCTTTGGAGACCTTCTTTCACTCATGTCCCTCTGACCAGAACTGGGCCAGTGACAGTATATATCAAAAGTGAGTGGGATTATGATGATGATCCAAGCCCTCACCCTAACCCATCACTTTCCTCCCAACTCAACATATCCTTAATTTTGTGATTATTCCTTTTCCTTTCTTCCTTTGATGGTTTTTGTTCTTTATTGATTTTAGAGAGAAAGGAAGGGAGAGGGAGAGAGAGATAAAAATATTAATGAAAGAGAGCAGCGATTGACCGCCTCCTGCATGCCCCCCACTGGGGATCTGGCCCACAGCCTGGGCATGTGCCCTGACCGGGAATCGCAGTGGCGGTCTCTTGGTGCATGGGTCGATGCGCAACCACTGAGCCACACTGGCTGGGCGATGGTATTTTAAGAAAACAAATACTGAGGTATATTTATTGACTTCATAGAATAAAGTTTGACACTTACATGCTTCTCACGCCATTTAAGAAATGGCATATAGGGACTTCCGGTGAAGATGGCGGGTAGGTAAACGTGGTATCACGTCCTCCCACAACCACATCAAAGTTACAACTAAACTACAGAACAACCATCATTCAAAACCGCCTGAAATCAAGCTGAATGGAAGTCCTACGACTACGGAATTAAAGCAGCAGCCACATCCAGACTGGTAGGAGGGGCGGAGGCTGACGGGCTGGTCCCACACACACGTGTGGCAGATAAAAATCAGGAGGACACCTCAGCTGGGAAGGTCCTCCCTGAGGACTGAGGGGTCCCGGTCCCACACCAGACGCCCTGCTCAGGGTTCCAGTGCCAGGAAGAGAATCCCCATAACTTCTGGCTGGAAAAACCAGCGGGAACTGAGGCTCAGGGAGGCTGAGGCCGCTGGAGCCCCAGGCAGCTCCTTAAAGGGCCCTCACAGACTTATCGGACTCACTCCCTCTAAGCGGAGGGGAGGCAGCTCGAGGGGCACCAGAGACATAGAGGGAAGAACTGAGCTGTTTAGCATTGGAGCGAGGGCTGGAGAGGGGGCTTTCTCCAGGACAGACTTGCTATCAGAGGCCTTTGTTCCTTCAGCAACCTGGCTCACACTGGTAGCCCCGCCCTGCTGACGCCCTGAGGCCCCGCCCCACCCCACCCAACTTTCAGGCCCACCCAAGCTGTTGCCAGTTGCTTAACCATAGGATTGGCTGGTCTTGGATCCTGCTTCAGGTTTTCCTAAATTCTTCCAAACAAGCAGCATCTGGTCTCAGCTAGCCCCATACTGCTTGTTAAGTAATACACAGAAACAAACACAGGGAGGCAGCCAAAATGAGGAGACAAAGAAACAGGTCCCAAATGAAAGAACAGAACAAAACCTCAAGAAAAGAACTAAGCGAAATGGAGATAAGCAACCTAACAGATGCTGAGTTCAAAATACTGCTTATAAGGATGCTCAATGAACTTAGTGAGAACCTCAGTGAACTTAGTGAGGGCCTCGAGAGCATAAAAAAGGACCAGTCAGAAATGATGGATGCCCAGTCAGAAATGAAGGAGGCATTAACTGAAATAAAGAATAATTTACACAGATTCAATAGTAGAGTACATAAATCCAAGAAGCAAACCATTGATTTGGAATATAAGGAAGCAAAAAACAATCAGAACAGCAAAAAGAAAAAAGAATCCAAAAAAATGAGGATAATGTAAGGAGCCTCTGGGACAACTTCAAGCGTGCCAACATTCAGATCTTGGGGGTGCCAGAAGGAGAAGAGCGAGAACAAGAAATTGAAAACCTGTTTGAAACAATAATGGCAGAAAACTTTCCTAACTTGTTGAAGGAAACAGACATACAAGTCCAGGAAGCACGGAGAGTCCCAAATAAAATGAACCCCAAGAGGCCCACACCAAGACACATCATCATCAAAATGCAAAAGGTTCAAGACAAAGAGAGAATCTTAAAAGCAGCAAGAGAAAGGCAGCTAGTTACCTACAAGGGAGTTCCCATAAGGCTGTCAGCTGATTTCTCAAAAAGAAACTTTGCAGGCCAGAAGGGAGTGGCAAGAAATATTCAGGGTGATGAAAACCAAGAACCTACAACCAAGATTACTCTATCCTGCAAAGCTGTCATTTAGAATTGACGGCCATATAAAAAGTTTCCCAGACAAGAAAAAGTTAAAGGAGTTAACCGTTATTATATGAAATGATGAAGGGTCTTTTTGAAGAAAAAGATAAAATATATGAACAAACAAAATGGCAATGAATACATATCTATCGACAATGGAATCTACAAACAAAATGAACAGGTAGAACAGAAACATTCTCATAGATACAGAGAACATTTTGTTGGTTGCCAGATGGGAGGGGGGTTGGGGGAATGGGTGAAAAAGGTGAAGGGACTAAGAAGTACAAATTCATTGCTAGACTGACAAACCTCAAAGGGAAAGGGGTTGGGGGATGGGAAGAAATAAACCAAAGAACTTATATGCATAACAAATGGACACAGACAATAGTGTGGGAAAAGGTGGGAGGGGGGCAGGAGTGGGGAGGAGGGGGTCAATGGGGGAAAAATGAGGAACATCTGTAATACATTCTACATTCAACAATAAAGATTTTTTAAAAATGGCATACATATTTTAAAAACATTTATTTTTCTTTATTGATTTTAGAGAGTGAGGAAGGGAGAGGGAGAGAGAGGGAGAAACACTGATGAGAGAGAGAGAATATCGATTGACCGCCTCCTGCATGGCCTCCTCTGGGGATTTGGCCCACAACCTGGGCATGTGCCCTGACCAAGAATCGAACTGGCAATCTCCTGGTGCATGGGTCGAAGCTCACCCACTGAACCACACCAGACGGGCGGCATATATCTTTATATTTGAAGCCTCCAATAGGCCCCTTCCTAAATACAACATCTTTCCTCCCCCTACTCCAGTGGTAACTCACGCCTATTCTACCTTCATTAAAAAGGAAAACTTTTTAACCTGTGCCCAAGAAGAGAGAAGAGCACAATGGAACAAGATGTACCCATCGCTTAGCTTCAACAATTTTCAACATGTGACTAATCTTGTTTTATTTTACCCCTCTGCCCGAGGGGTTATTTTAAAGCAAAATCCAGACATCATACAGTTTCATCTGT